CCGTTTCCTGCCGTGGCAGTGGGTCTTTCGGCCTCATGACCCGGCGCCTGGTCATGAGACCGAGGTTTTGGTCGGTTTCGTCGTATTCCTCTTGGAGAAGACTATTAATGATTTAGATAGCCAGAGTGGGTGTAATAGATGTGAACAACGAGGTCACGTCCATCGACACCAGCACCGCGTCTGCTTCCACTTCCAAATGTTGGATGCAGGCCAAAAACTCTTCAGCAGACTCTACTGTCCACTGTGAATCCTTGGTAAGAAAGCACAGTCACTGATACTGCCACTTTGACAACCAAAAAGTTGGGGTACCTCGTAAGGATACGATGGGGCGTAAGGGCACTCCTGGTTGGTGCACCTTTGCTAGACCGTAGGAACGTGCCAGTGCAGCGTCGATGGCCTTTGCAGCGAGAACGAGAAAAATTCAAACGGCCACCGGCAGTCGATCGGGGTGCGAGCATCAGGCACAGTTATAACAGGCGTATGGCGGTCAGACAAACTCACTCGGCGCCAGCGGGAGAATAGACGTTACGCTCTGACGATTAAAACGAGAATTTTTTTGAAACATCAGCTTAAATGTACTTCTTCCTCTTCCGGGGATGATGAAGGAAATATTATATCTGGACTTCGAATAATTTTGCATATATTTAGTAGATAATGGTATACCGATCAATTTCAGGACGCTTCCGTCCTGGTTGATGCCTTAGGATTACATGACACAGATGAGCCCATGCCGCAAGGTGGCTAATATTGTCATCTTACTATGTTTTAGTAAAAAACGCTTTTTATGTAATTATTCACAAAGACAGAGGGGCACTAGGATGGCTATTACTGGCTAATTAGCCATCGTGAGCTATTGATACCCAGCTCCGGTGTTGCCGCTGAAACTGCTGCCACACTCTAGTTTCGAACTCGCAACCTCTCTGATCAGAGTCAAAACGCCCTAACCATTGAGCTACGGGCTCGCTGTCTTGTCGGTTTTTAAACTAGTAGATAATCGCACACTGATCCGTTTCAGCAGCTCCTAAATCATC